GGGAAAGCAAGAGAGCACAAATTTGCTGAAGAAAGTTCTGATTCTACTGAGATATAAAGTCTTCCGAAGGGGGGGGGCACTGAAGAAGAAAGTCAGAAAACCTAGCCCTCAAAGCACACTGAAGACTTTATTTACCACTAATGGCCATGGAGGCCAACTCTGAATATTTGTTACTGATAATTTATTTAAATGAGTCACTGATAAGCAATGGCTAGAGAAAGGTGAAATGTGTACATACATTTTGAAGGAAATAGGGAAGAATCAAAGTATAAAGTTGGTCATTTTATTTGATTTAAAAATAATAGGGCATCTGAAAACAGGGTGCTGGTTCTGAGTTCATATTAAAATATCTTAGGAAGCAGAACATTCTTATTATCTCACTAAGTATATTTCCCCCATTTGTAGTAGAATGCTGTAAAGCTGTAAGATCAGAACTTCATTTTAAGAACTAGACAAATTAAAATAAAAACAAAAGCAAACAAAGAAAACCACAAACCCTAAAGACCAAGATGTGAAAGCTGGGGGACTATTTAGGGAGTGGAATGGGGCTTGGGAGGTGTATTAGGAGAAGAGAGAGTAAGGGGGATGTGTGATTTAAGAAAATCAAAATATGATGGCCATATATGAAAACATCACAGTGAAAACAGAGCTTGTATGCTACCTAAAATAATAATAATAATAATAATAATAATAATAATAATAATATCATTTAAACCTCAAAAAACAAGTTTTCAGAAATTATGAGTGAGATGATGGTGGTGTGCCTTAATGCTACACTGCTTCTTAGTATGTGTAAGGCCCTGGGTCCATCTGAATACTGAAAACGAAGAGGGACAAAATGTGTGCTATTGGAAAAGCTTGTAAATTACTATGCAGCAAGTCTCATTTTTTGTGAGTGATGTTAGCAGTTAGAATACTGGAAAAGGAAAGACCACAGTGGTACATACCAAGGGAAAAAAAGATGGAGTTTTATGTATCCCAGGCTAGCCTTCAACTAAACAACCAAGGATAAATCTGATGTTCTGATTCTTTTGCCTTTACCTCCCGAGTGCTCAGGTAATAAGCATGTGCCACCACACCTAGGTTTTTTATGAGGAGTTGGGGCTTGAACCCAGAACTCCATGCATGCTAGACAAGCACTCTGACAACTGTGCTATTATCTCCAGCTCTAAAGTGATTTTTAAAAGATTTATTTATTGTTATTTTAATGTGTACCACATGCATGCAGTGCTCATGGAGGCCAGAAGAGGGCGTCAAATACTCTGCAACTGGAGTTACAGGTGTCTGTGCACCACTGTGTGTGTGAGAAATAGAACCTGGGTCCTCTGGAAGAGGACTATCTAACATAATTTCTAAAAAAAAAAATTATTTAACTTCATTTCATGTGCATTGGTGTTTTGCCTGCATGTATGTCTGTGTGAGGGTATTGGATCTCCTGGAACTGGAGTTACAGACAGTTGTGAACTGCCATGTGGGTGTTGGGAATTGAACCCAGGTCCTCTGGAAGAGCAGCCAGTGCTCTTAACCACTGCCATGTCTCCAGTCCCTAACATAATTTTTTAATAAAGAAATACATTTTCACTTTTGTCAGCCATCACTCCATAAAAATTGTGAAATTAATATAAACTCAAGGCTTGTTTTTAATTTTAATTTTTAAAAAGAGAAAAGTTGGAATTGGAGGGTGATAAGTTGGACCAAAATACTGTGCATAAAATTCTCAAAGAATAAAATTAAATGAAAAAAGAAAACTACATTTTCGGCTGAAGAGTTGGGTCAGCAGTTAAGTTAAAAGTATGTTTCTGTTCTTGAAGGTGACCTGAGTTTAGACAGTCAGGAACCTGTACCCACAGCTCCAGGGTATCTGGAGACTCTGGCTCCCTTGAGGCCTTTGTATCAATCTCCAATACCTAAAAAAAATCAGCATCTAAACAAAATATAGGCAAACTTTAGCAACTGTTATATGTACAGTGAGTATCTGGGTGATGGGATATCACTGACTATTTTTGCTATTTGAAGTATTTCATAATTTTTATAAGAAGGACTACTTAATGTTTTAGAATGTAGAAGGACAAAAAATACAAAAGTATGTGTGCTCTGAAGAGGGAGGTGTGCTCTAAGATCAATTATAGCTTTTCTTGTAGTCAACTTAATTTGATGCTTTATAAAAAATTAAATTAAAAATTAATACACATTCATATAATCTTTGAAGAAGATATTCATAAAGAAAGCTAATCAGTATGAGTGTTATTAAAGCACTTGAGTCTCCTTGAGTCTTCTATGATTCATGTATTTTAAAAATCATTTGAAAATGTCTATTTGGTAAAAGAAAGAATGCATTCACCCTAACCCTTCTATATAAAAGACACCATAGCTGATTATTACTGCTTGAGCATATAAAACTAGACAGCCAAATTCAAACACCAAGGAGAACAGAAACTCCCATGCAAGTCCAGATGTCTGGCCTCCCCTTTAAACTTCTTGTTAAGTCCAACAGAATGGAAGACTCAAGTTGCATAAATGATTTTAAGTAATGAAGATTTTACAGTGTTATTTTATAAACACAGAAAAACTGGAAATAAGTCTTCTGTTGTTGGCTTAGTTAGGCTAAATAAATTAAAACCAAGTCACTAACTGGAATATTGTTAGGTTATTAAGGCAAAAATTAAATTAAAGAATATTGAATGTGCTTTTAAAAAAATAAAATTCCCAGGGCAATATTAAGCAAACACACTAAATTTGTAAATAAGGCTCAAAATTGTGCATAAAATCTGGGGTTATATGGATAAATGTGGGGAATAAGAGTATGATATTATGATAGAGGAATGGGTGAAATTTTCATCTTTAATTTCTTTGAGTGTTGGTTTAATAAATTATTTAACCAGTGATTTAAAGTAATTATATATATATTCTAAAAGATTAAGTGATATCCCCCCCTTTCTATAGCTAGCAACCTTCAGGTATATTTTGATTAATCTTTGACATCATTCAAATTTCATTACTTTAAAGCAGAACTACAAGTCAAATTCAGTTACCTGTTCTCTGGGCTAGGCAATAGAAGGAAGCACTCGTCACTCCTCCACCTCTGCCCTCCATATCTGCTCGAGTATTAAAGCACACTAGACCAGAATATTGATCGTAATCAAGTGAGTACTAATCTCTGAGAACGACTCACTGACATCAGGAACCTAGACAACTCACGGAGCTTCTCCAGTCCCAGTGTTTCACAATGTTTCTCCAAGTGTCTATATATATATTCAAGACTCTATTCAGAAGCCATGTGACTGGAAGGTTCATCTCGGATCTTGGGGCCCACCATCCCCTATATCCTCAACCTTTTGGAAAACCGTGCTTGGCACAGGATTCCTCTTTTAGAGGCAAACCAAATCCTGAAGGGTCCATTTTACTCCTAAAATAAATAGTTATTTTCCCAAGGGGGGGGTACTGAACACTTTTTTACATCTGACACAGTACAAAACACTTCACATACGTGACATAGATCAATTGCGCCTTCTTCCTGGGTGCTGCTGCAGATACACAAAATCAATTTCTGGACTATTCCAGAACGATCTGTGTTTTTCATAAACTCAGTAAAGACATACAAAAGGCTGAAACCCAGTGGTCTAAGGCCAGTGTTTTTCCACAATGAAAGACAATTTATTAATAGATCATGGTCTATATTTTTTTAAAAAAATAAAGTGTTATTGCACATGGTATTGATTTTACAAGCCTGTGTCAATTATATTTTCTTTGTGTGTACTACAGATACGGCATAAAGTTGGTTTGGTTTTTAAAGAACGATTTTTTTTTTTTACTTAGTCCATTCTGGCCTTGAGCTTGTGATTCTCCCGCCTCAGTCTAGCGCTGAGAGTACAGACATACTCCCTCACATTTCAGTCTTAAAATGTATTTCTTTTCGTGAGTCACAGCCAAAAGGTTTCCAAAACACTGGTTGCATAGTACATATTTAGAATTCATACACAAAGAGACCCAACAAAGACAAAAACCAACAAACCAACCGAGACAGCAAAACATATGTAACAAGCTGTAGAAGTATCTAGAGACGTAACAAAATGGAAGGCATTTAAACCATGATCATCCACTGTAATAAAGGGAATTATGGTATTGCTTATTTGGCTAAAAAGCCAATACTTAAAGTATTCCACTCATATTTTTCCTTATCTTGCATAATAACAAGCAGAATGAATAAATTACTAAAACTTCATTACCACTTCCCCTTCGCCATATGCGGTAAGTTATGAAAAGCACCTTAGCTGAGACAAGGGCAGTAGTTCAGTACCTTCGTAATCAAATTCCATTCCCAGAAATAACCAAAAGTATTCATTAAACCATCCTATGTCACCTGGCTTACAGCTCAAATCATATATACAAGCAGTTTTGTACCATTCCTCCTTCCTTTCTCCTTTATTTAAAATCAAATCAAGTAATTTGTGGGGAACTATCTCTAACCTGAAGATACTCAATTCCCTATCGGCGGCTAAGAGTCCGCACACCTAGGCTTCCCCACTCCCAAGCCGCCGAAGCGGGCACCGTGCCCGGAGACTTTCCCGGGACTTAGGATGCATGATACCCCACCCCTGACATCGCTCCACTACAGCATCGTGCCAGCCGATCCTCCGCTCTCCCGGGGGCTCCTGGACAGACAGGATTTGCCCCCGTAAGGAATAAAAAGCGCAATCCCCGCGACCATCCCCACGGCCGCCGCCGCGACCACCACTGTACGGTCTCCCGAAGAGCCAGTACCTAGTAGGGACAGAGGCACAACACGTGTCTCTGTCACGGGAGGGGGGCGTGGAGAGCGAGAACATCGCGGACACCAAGCTTCCCAACCCTAGCCCACGAGCCTTACCCTTCCACGTCCGCGGCTCCCGATTTACCGAAGGTAATGAGTTCTCGGACCCGGAATTCGCCACCGGGGAAGGAAAAAAAAATGAGCTAGATGCAAAAAGCCTATGGGGCAAATGTAAACGTCGTGCACTTACCTCCGTGGTTGAGCGAGCTTGCTATCCCGTCCGCAAAGTAACCGCGCGGGCTGGTGGGAAGCAGTCGGGAGAAGGAGGCGAACCGGAGCCGGACCTACTCCAGCAGGGAAGCAGCCAACTCCAGGAGCTAGCCCGCTATAGATACAGAGGCTTACTCGGGGTCGACCTACTTAACTAGAAAGGGCAGCCATAGACCCCGAACGGGACGCGCTGGGATTGGTTGCCTCGGGTATTGTTTCAAAGGAGACTCTTCTGTGATTGGCTAGCAGAGTCAAGCGGGAACCCGAGGTGGGAGGTGGGAGAGGGGTTTAACAAAGTTGTTACCCAGGCAACAGGGCGACGCACAGCGAGCGGCAGTCTATTTTCGGAGCCTAGGCTGTGGCCGGAGCATTGACCAAGGTGAGGAAAATTGAACCTTAGAAGGGGAAAACAGAGGGGGTCCTTGAACGCTGCGACAGTTGGAGAAACTAGGGAGAATTTAAAATACTTGAGGGCTCGGCGCGATACCTCTCAAAAGGCCTATGGTGCTCAAAGTAGAGGCGAATGTTCGCGAAGTCCCACCCTCTTTAACACCCACAGCAGGATGTTGCTTCTAGAAAAACTCCTAGAGAAGGCCTGGGTACTGACCCACTGTAACAAAACAAAAATGAACATCCAAATATTTCCCAAATTTCCTTTCCCAGGTCTCACACACTCTCAATGCGTCCCTCCTTTCCGTTAAAAAATAATTTGAGAGTGTCAGTTGGTTCCTCGGAGGTAGGTCTGGGTGGTCAAAGTTGGAAGACTCATCTTACCTTCCGTTTTATGGAAACAAGCAGTATTAATTATGTACCAGCAGGCCTTGGTTGGGAAATGGAGGAAGAGTCCGCTCAGTAACGCCTTTCAAACAGGAAAATAAAAATAAAATGGCTCCCGTATGGAGCAATATTTCCGGGGGAGAGAATTTCAGCGGCCTGAGAGTTCTGAGGACGTTGATTACTGCCTCGAGGACTGGACAGCCATAACACCCGCGTTTACTGGGTCGGAACATAGTGGACAAAGCTTACTTATACCTTAAAAATCCTTCTACTCCACCAGAGGCTGATTAGGAGAGTATTTTGTCATTTTACTATACCATTAAAAATATACAACACTGTGACAAAAATTGAATGTGAGGAATGAGAGAGAACCCAGTTTGAGTAGAGAGATAAGGATCATTAATTCTAAGAGTTTCCTGTTGTGTTAAGGATTCAAAACCCGGATTACAGAAGTAAACAAAACCAGGTCTTTGACCTTAGGAGTACACTTCAAAGAACTGAAAGAAAAATTACCAGTCAACACTCTTTATATAGAAGTTGAATATGAAACTAAGAATAAATTATCGCCAAATGTATTAAGTTTTCCTGAAATGTGCTGTATAGCACCCCACCCCATCCCCTTTACTATTTAGTCCAGGATCCCTTAAAGAGGCCCACAACCTTCCAAGTGCTAGGATTTCAAATATACTACATAGCTTTTGATAGCGCAGGATGAGCATCATAAAAATTAAAGCTTTCCATCTCAGTATATAAACTCACTCTCGAGACCATGTAGTACCAGTTACTAGGAAGGCTGATGTGTGAGGTTCCTTTGAGCCTAGGAGTTCAAGGTCAGCCTGGTCAAGGTAAGAAAACCAAGTCTTAAAGCAATGCAATGCATTTTTCAAAGGATGGTAGAGATTCCATTATTTTATTTTATATTTTATTTTTATTTTTTATTTTTTTGGCTTTTTGAGACAGGGTTTCTGTGTAGCTTTGCACCTTTTCTGGAACTCACTCTGTAGACCAGGCTGGCCTCAAACTCACAGAGTTCTGCCTGCCTCTGCCTCCCGAGTGCTGGGATTAAAGACGTGCGCCACCACCGCCCGGCTGAGATTCCATTTGTATAAGCAACCTAGATAAAGTGCAGACACAGAGTTATTAAATCAAGCGAGGCTTATGTTTTTTTTTTATTTTTATTTATTTTTTTTGGTGTTTTGAGACAGGGTTTCTCTGTGTAGCTTTGGTGCCTTTCCTGGGACTCACTCTGTAGCCCAGGCTGGCCTTGAACTCACAGAGATCCACCTGGCTCTGCCTCCCGAGTGCTGGGATTAAAGGCGTGCGCCACCACTGCCCGGCGAGGTTTATGTTTTTGTTTACAGCAAGGTTTATGTTTTTATGTTTAGGTAACATGCTGCCACTGAGCCCTACCCCTATGCTCTCTTTTTGTTTTTCATTTTTCATTTTGAGACAAAGTATCACTAAGTTGGCCAGGCTGGCCTTGAGCTCCATAGCCCAGACTTGCCTGAACTGCCTCAGTCTTCAGAGTAGCTGTACCTCAAGTCCTGGCTTCCATTCATCTTTCTGAAAGATTCCAGATACTTAAAAAAAAAATTATCAGTTAACTATATTTTAAGTTTGTGACAGACACCTTATTAAGCTCCCATAGTTATATTTTTATGGTAGTGAATGATAGAAATATAAAAAAAAGGAAACTATTCTTGGGTATTAAAGACAAAACATGGTTACCTCCTGTTGAACCAAGGACCTTTGGCATGTTTATGAACATACCTATGAACTTATGAACTACATCCCCAGTTCATAACTGAGTTAGTTTCAGTAGGCACAGAATTACTGATGAGTACAGTTGTCAAAAAATTAGTTGTGTGTGTCTGTGTGGGGATATGTGCACACGAGTGCAGATGCTCCTGGAAGTCAGAGATACTAGATCTCCCTGGAGCTGGAATTACAGGCAGTTTGAGAGGTCTGATGTGGGTGCTGGGAACTAAAG